TTATAACTTTCCCTATTTCCTTATTTTCTCTTGACCAAAACTTTTAAATTTACTTTTCCTGTTTGCAGAACTACCTGTTTTTATCTCTTTTATTTTTTTTTAACTTTTTAATTTAAAGCAAAATTTTTTTGAGTTTATTTATGAGAGAGAGAGAGAGGGAGGGAGACAGCATGAGTGGGGGAGGGGCAGAGAGACAGGGAGACAGAATCCGAAGGATGCTCCAGGCTCTGAATTGTCAGCACAGAGCCCGACACGGGGCACGAACTCACAAACCATGAGACCATGACTTAAGCCGAGGTCGAACGTTTAACTGACTGAGCCACCCAGGAGCCCCTATCTCTTTTATTAAAAAGAATTTACTGGGGCGCCTGGGTGGCGCAGTCAGTTAAGCGTCCGACTTCAGCCAGGTCACGATCTCGCGGTCCATGAGTTCGAGCCCCGCGTCGGGCTCTGGGCTGATGGCTCAAGGCCTGGAGCCTGTTTCCGATTCTGTGTCTCCCTCTCTCTCTGCCCCTCCCCCGTTCATGCTCTGTCTCTCTCTGTCCCAAAAATAAATAAACGTTGAAAAAAAAAAAAAGAATTTACCTTAATAAGAATAAGGCATACTATATATGGTCATCCTAAAAGATATTTAAAAAAAATTTTTTTAGTGTTTATTTATTTTTGAAGGAAAGAAAGAGTGTGAACGGGGGAGGAGCAGAGAGAGGGGGAGACACCGAATCCGAAGCAGGCTCCACGCTCTGAGCTGTCAGCACAGAGCCCGACGCGGGGCTTGAACTCATGTACCGTGAGCTCATGACCTGAGCCAAAGTCGGATGCTTATCCAACTCAGCCATCCAGGCGCCCCCTAAACAATATTTAAAACCACAGTGTTATTGAAAGCTTTGTAAAATTTTTTTTTCAATTTACAACACATAATTAAGTTGTATTGACACAGAAAAATGACATTATACATTTTCCTTGTGGCTTAAAAAGAATGTATGTGTTAGACAAGAATGCACAGCTGAGGCATAGGTGAGGACGGTATGATACCTGAGTATTTTTATTTTCCTTTTTGGCCTAAACACCTTTGAGTTCAGGGTTTGGGTCCAATGAATGTTCCATTTCCTAGTTATCTTAAAAAGAAGCTCTAGGATTGCCTGGGTGCCTTGGGTGGCTGTCACTTAAGTGTCCAATTTTTTTTTTTTCTTGAGAGAGAGAGAGAAAACATGAGGGGGGAGTGGGGGGCGCAGAGAGAGAAGGAGACAGAGAATCCCAAGCAGGCCCCGTGCTGTCAGTGCAAAGTCTGATTCGGGGATCGAGCTCACAAACTGTGAGATCATGACCTGAGCCAAAATCAAGAGTTGGACACGGGGCGCCTGGGGGGCTCAATCAGTTAAGTGTCCTACTCTTGACTTTGGCTCAGGTCATGATCTCACAGTTTGTGAGCTCGATCCCCGAATCGGACTTTGTACTGACAGCACCGGGCCTGGTTGGGATTCTCCCTCTGTCCCTCTCTCTCTGTCCCTCCCCCCAAAAAGTAAATTTAAAAAAAATTGAAAGTTTAACTTGCCCTTAGGAGAGCTAAGGGAGATCTATAGTAATTTAGATAGAACTTTATGTGATTAAAAAAAAATTTTTTTTTAATGTTTATTTATTTTTGAGACAGAGAGAGACAGAGCATGAACGGGGGAGGGTCAGAGAGAGAGACACAGAATCTGAAGCAGGCTCCAGGCTCTGAGCTATCAGCACAGAGCCTGACGCGGGGTTCGAACTCACGTCGGTCGCTTAACCGACTGAGCCACCCAGGCGCCCCGAACTTCATGTGATTAATAAAGAAATCTAGACAAACATAAGCTTTTGAGGTTTTTGTCTAAAAATGCTGAGTCAGTACTTGCCAGAGTTCCCGGCAGAGGTGATGGGTACAGCAAGACAGGGCAGATTATTAAGGACTGGGGAAACAGAATCTAGTGTACAGTTTTCCAGATGATTAGAAAAGATGATGTAATCCCTCCTCACAAATACTCATGAAAGCACCGACCCTTCTCTGGCCTCTGTTTCTTTGATTTTTTTGCAACACCTTATAGGTATTTGCCTCTTGCGGAGTCCTTTTGATGTGAAAAACAAAGGCAGAAGGAAATAGCAGATAAAATTAAATTTCCTTCTAACCTGCAGCCCATTGACAACTACTTGAGGCCCAGAGGAAAAGGCCTCTCCAGGAACGCTCTACTGTCTTGCTGCTAATGCTTTGCTAGAGGGCAAACAACCCCAGTTTGACAATAGCTAGGCCTCCTGTATCTGCAAGTCTTCTTTAGCATA